GCTTCCTCTCCCCCCCACTCTTATTTTAGGTTTTTTCCTTCTTTTTTTTTTTTTTTTTAAATACATATGTGTTTTTACCATGTACCACATGATGGGTAACATCCAGTCTATATCATTGCACCAGCAGGTACTTAAAGCACTTATTGCCCAAACACAGATGATAATATAGTGCAACATAGTGGAAAATTACAGGCTTTTTCGTTGTTGATGAGACTGTGACTGCTACTGAAGAACTGCAAAATGTTAGCAGGAATATCCAAATATTTATTTGTGGTTTATCTTTCCTGTAAAACTACACAACCCTCTAAACTTGCTCATATTTAACAGCAAAAGTAGTATTTTTTAAAAGAGTGTAATGAATTTGATGGCTGCACTTTTTTCCCCTTCCAGAGCAAGAATTTACTCCTTGAGAAGATTAATGGTGGTTCAAAAAGAAGAAAGAGGGTAACTATCAGAATACTTTATAGCCCCTGTATCACCTAGAGAGCTAGTAAGAATTAAAATCATACTGTTAAAATGAAGAGTTAGTCTAATACATCTGCATTATACCTTAGATAATGCATGGAGTCAGGGAATCTCTGTGATAAACTACTACAGCAGGCTTCAGGACTGTCCACCAAGTACAAGATGCTTTTCTCTAAATAGCCTGTTGCTTTCAGAAGATGTGTTTCAATGCAGAGCATTCATTTAAAAACTTTACATTATCTGTGTTTTAAAATTGATCCTATTTGCATAAAACAATTTGAAATTATTTAGATGTCTTTAAAACAGAATTTTAAAGTTTCCTACTAAAAATATTGGTAAAATTAATTACCACTACCCATGCATGTGAATGTGGCTTTGGGTGTAAGTGACAGTCGAACTGGTCCTTTAGCTGATGTAATTTAATTCACATACCTACTTAGATTTACCTCAGATTAAACTCCTATCTCTGTGTCCCACTTGCTTGAAAGACAACGGTGAATGGGTTCTCCCCTTTCTGCCCCTGAAATAAGGAAGGCAATCCACATAGAGAACTTCTGCACAATGCACCTCACTATCTTCTCTCATTTTTTTGGTAGTATCAGCCTTTCTTTTATCAAAAAAATCACTTTAAGGCAGAGTCGAAGCCTTTAGCTTTGCTGCTGGTGTATTTTTTTTTACAAGAAAATGTCTAGCTCTCTGCCAGAAAGTAGCTTTTCAAAATATGACAGCACAGTTTATACTGTAAATGAAGTAAATTTGCTTTTAAATAACTGAAGCATAAGTGAAGATGATTTATTTATTTATTTACTTAACTCTTAAACCTAAAGTCTTTCCTAGAAAGGGAGAAGATGAGTTGATTTCTCACGGATTCACACATCACTGGTAATAAACACTGTTCAACCATAAGTTAATGATCTATCTTGAGCTTGGTATCTGCCTCCCGCTTGTATTTGATTTTTGACTTTGTTAGTGGAAAAGGAAAAAGGGTAGGCACCTGATTTTAACTCTGAAGTAAGTAGAATTTACTCTGGAAATAGTTATGTGGAATATTTAATAGCTAGAACAGCATGTTAAAGTAGGATTACTGCAATATATACATGAGAAAAAAAGAAAAAAAACCCCAAACATTCTCTGTCTGTGTGCTGACTGATGTAATCAGATACAAAAGGAATAATGGCTGGAGACCTGACAACCACGTGGCTGGGGGTAGCCCAGAATTTTGGAGGTGAAGCTTCAGTTTCTTGCTTTGCAGCAGATCTATTTTCTTAGCACAGGCGTGTCACTTAATGGTAAATTCATTATCATTTAAAGTATTTTATTGTTTTGAGAGTAATACTATAACAATTACTATTGCTTTAATGAACAATTC